GCCTTCTACATTCAATGAGTAAAGTACCACACACTAACAACTGCTAGTATTATAACCCATTATAACCCTGCCCCATGGTTTATGATCTATTTTTCAACATTTGCAAGAAGTAAAATAGTATCATTTAAGGATCTCTGAACCAGAAGAAGAAAAATCAGTCTGTAATTTTTGATTTTTATAAGTATTATTACTTAAGTAGTAAATTGTCCGTTGGTAATGAATAAGCTCAAATCAGATCTCTCAGAACTGCACAAAAGGAAGAAAAACTCAAAAACTGAGAAAAATAAGGTCACCTATTAGATTCCTGCTTTGTTTTCTTCATCTTAAAAATACAGACAAAAGTGCCCGCTTACAACTTAAGAGACTACGGATCTCCTTATAGCTGAGAGGAAGCATGGCTCCAAGCGTGGAGTCCAACTGAGCTTTCTGCCCCCGCGCTCGCTAGCAGCAATGAATGGAGATGATACGACAACTGAAGGCCTCCTCTGTGGCTGTCCAGGTGGGACAGTACATTACCCACCTGCGGAACTGCTACACGGGCTACACCAGACCACACCATAAAGCCTTCAACACAGCAACGGGTTCACTCTAAGCATCTTACTAACCTTTCAGTTCTTTCATATATGTTTCAATTAAAACACTGCTTAAGATACCAACAATTTGGACTATCTCCGTATCCATCAGGAGCGACTGGATGATTGCATCACAGAATCTGCGCACACTGGGATGCTCTGTAGCAGTAGGCAAACCCACAATTAAAAATACAGAAACATATTCCACATTCATGATACTTTGTGACATTAGCGAGCACTCCTTTGGCTAAAAACACCTTTACAACTCATTAAGGAAAAGTGATTAATTCTGTGAAAAGGATGTATAGCCTGCCAAAGTGGCAAAAGTTAAAGAGATAACTGAGAACTGGAAACTCAAATGCACTGTGGGTGAAGCTGTGTACTCTCCTCTGAGCCAGCAATCCATTTCTAGACATACTAACCTAGTGAAACTCTTGCACACCAACCCCAAGACACATATGAGCACGCGCCCAAAGCACTGTGTGAAATAAGTAGAACTGAAAACCATCTAAATATTTGCAGTAATTTATGTTCACGTGATGGAATTTACACAGAAGTTAAGAATGAGTGATTCCAAGGAGGAAAATAGGGGAAGAGAGTTGAGAAGGGGTACATCTTACGACTTTGAAAATTCGAAACAGCAAAGCATGTAGTATATACCTGTAATATTAGCACTCTGGGAGGTTAAGGCAGGAGGATTGCAAGATCAAGCCCAACCTGGGCAACTTAGCAATTCAGTGAGACCCTATTTCAAAATAAAAAATGAAAAGGGGCTGGAGATGAGCTCAATATAAAGACTTTGGGTTCAATATCCAGTACCACATACACAAACAAAGCTAAACCCAAACCAAAACCCAAACATACAGATATCCATGTTATATTGTCTCTTATCTTGTACTGTTCTGTAGATTTTTTCATAATTAAAACAGCTGAGCTGAGGATGTGGCTCTATGGTATATGCTTGCCCAGCATGCATAAGGCCCTCAGTTCTGTCTCCAGCAACACACACACACACACACACACACACACACACACACACAGAGCTGACATTAAAAAAAGAACCAACAATTATCCCTTTGGAGCCTGACGATCTGAAACAGATTACTGTATTTCAGTGGGACTAACCTCAGTTTTAGTACAGTAAAGTGGGGAAAGCAGCACCTTCCCTCCAGAATCATAGTGAAGAACTTGAATATACAAATAGACCCTCAGAAAGTGGTATTATGTTGCCCTACTCGTTACCATCTAGAAATCTCTTAGCTCATTGTTTACTCTTTAGTTTAAAATGTTCCCACTTACAGAGTAACTTCTTTAAACACTGCTTCACTTCACTGCTCTCCCCCTAGATTTGTATTCCTGCTTTCTAGATGACCCAACCCATTCCAATTAAGGGTGTCTACCTTGTTGAAGCCATCTTGCACCCCTCTTCTGGCCTCAGCACCTCAGGAACAGTGCTTTGCTTTTACTGTACCTTGAGATTCCCTAAGGCATACACAATTTCCTTTAACTTTGCATTCTCACTGAAAGGGAGAAGAAGAATGAAGAGCAAGACTCAGGACTGCACTTCAATACTGGCTCCCACAAGAGTCCTTGCTGCTTAACATATTAATATTTGGTGGAAAATACCTGTTCCATGTTATGTCTAAGATGTTTGATAGGGGCTGGGGAGATAGCTCAGTAGAATAAGCACTTGACTGGTAAGTGCAAAGGCCTGAGTTCAATCCTTGGTTGCACAAAAAAAAAAAAAAAAAAAAAAAAAAAGATGTTTGATACTCAGACAGATAGTGAGGTTAAGCTCAACTGCCTATGGTATACAGTAATAATATCATTAAGCTTCTCTTCTGGAAGATTAACAACTTAAGTTTGCAGACCAAAAATTAGAGAAAAAGAAAGATTGCAAGGACAGCAACATTTTGGCTCTAGGCTTTCAAGGTCAGTGAGGACTCAGGATATAGGAGAACCTGTACTGTAACATCCTGTAACTCAGTTGTGTCCCAAATTTACTGATCAAGGAGATTATGGGGCCACAGAGCAAAGTGATTGATGACGTAGAGTGTGCCTAACGAGAGTCACATGGACAGAAAACATTCTCTCAGGCTTTCACAGAGAGCAAATTGGTCAAGCAACGGCCGTGACTCATCCACATGGCTGACACTGACAAAGGATCTATAAACTGCAGTACAGGGTTTCAGGGTAAATCCTGAGGGGACTTGACTGACACAGTCAGATACAAAAGTTTCATTTCATGTTATATAGGTCTTGCTTTATCTTGGTGTTAATCATCCAGCAGAAAAGTGTAAAAACAAGGTATAAAAAGTAAAGCCATATTAATATGCTGAGCTGTAAAAGGCTCAAGTGAACAACTTCTGACATTGCCAGTCCTACAGATAACTCACTACCATTATGGACTACTCGACTATATTGGATTATTTTGCTGAATTCATGCACCCACAATATTTAAATGGAAATGGAATGCCCATTTCTGACAAAACTATACAAAAAAAAAGGATATAAATGAAGGACCATTTTGTATCTGTATATGCAAAGTAGGATAGATATACAGCTACTTTCTCTTAATTCATTGAGAAGAAAGATTTGTACTAATCGTGTTTGGACAGGATATCATGTCGGCATCTTGTAATATGAATAACCACTACGAAGACCACAATATGCAATGTATTATTGAAACTGTTCTACCAATTGGTTTTGAAACTGTCTCATTGCTATTTGTTTCTCAATAAAATTAATTAAAAAGGGGCCAGGGAGATGGCTCAGTGGAGTAAGCACTTCCCTGGCAAGCAAAAGGGCCTGAGTTCAATCCCCAGTTCTGAAAAAAAAAAAATTAATTAAAAAAAAAAGAGTCCTTGCTGTGACTATGTCCCTATGACAGGTCCTCTGGGTTATGTGGCATAGTGTGATGATGAATCAATACCTATGAATTTGTCTTCCATACCAAAAGCATATTTTCAAGGCCCCTTTAATCAGGTCCCTACTCAAGTTTCCCTATATTTAGAACAAATCCTCTACAGTCTCGTTCGCCTCCTAAATACCCCATAAATATGTTACTCTAATTCTTTTCTGTTATCTAAATTTCCTTGTCTTCAAAACTTTGCCCAAATTCTATGCCTTCCAATTCCTTGATACATTTGACCCTTAATTTTGGAAAATGTAAAATATATAGAGTTAGTCACTCTCCTAAACTATACATACATACATATATATATATATGAATTTATTTTAGCCTCATAACTCTGTAAGATAACATTATTATAACATCATTCTATGGAGAAAGAAACTGAGCCACAGTCAGCTAATGAGCAGCAGAACCAACGTCTGAACCCAAGTAGTCTGCTGCATAACCTAGGCCTTTCTTTTTTTTTTTTTTAAATATTTATTTATTTTTATTTATTACATCTATTTATTGTGTGTGTGTGTGGCCAGCTCAGCCCACCAGGGGGCGGGGCTGGCTGGCATGTGGTGCTGGAGGATTGAACCGCGGTCCCTGTGCTTTACCAAGCTTGTTTCAAGTAGGTGCTTTAGACCACTGAGCCATCTCTCCAGCCCTGGTTTGAATTATTAAATG